AGAAATGGTCCACAATTGAGCAGACGAGATTCAGCAAGGACAAGTGCAAAGTTCTGCCCTTGGGATAGAATAATTACATGCACAAATACAGTATTGCAGAGAAGAAAGAAGGAAAGAAAAACCCTACAGAGAGGGGTTACAATAGGCCAAAAGCTGAATATGAGCCAAGAGTGTGCTCATTACAAAACAAGCCAACAGCATACTGAGTTGCATTAATAAAAGTGTAAATCAATGGAAAAGTTTCTTCTGCTCAATTTAACACTGGTAAGGATGCATCTGGAGTATTCTGTCCAGTTTTGGACCAGCCACTTCAAAAGAAGGAGGACAATTTGGAAAGAGCCTAGCACAACGCAACAAAAATGATGAGAGGCCTGAGTAAAATGACTCATTTATGAGGAAAGGCTGAAAGAACTAGGAATGTTTAGTCAGGAGAAGGGAAGACTGAAAGAGGGATTTGCTGTCTTCCAAAACCTGAAGGCCGATTATAAAGAAGATGGAGATAGACTTACCTCTGCCCATGATGGACAGAACTAGGAGTAATGGCTTCAAACTGCAGCAGAGAAAATTAAGTTGAGGTTTAAGAACTTCCTGACTATGAGGGTGGTCAAGTATTTGAACAGGCTACCTAGAAAAGTTGTGGCATCCCCATCCCTGGTCTTTTTCAAGTGCAATTGGAAAAAGGCTTAGCTGGGATGGTTTAGGGCTTTATTACACATTAATTTTAGGCATCTCCTGGAACTCTTAACCCCTGGATTGTCCACACTAACACCTAAAACTACTTTTAAGAACACTTTAGGCAGCTTAAAGTTACACACCCGCAGGGCAGGTTTATCACTGATCTGTTACCCAACTCCTGTTCCATCAATGTGTGTCCACTCCCTGCAGATAAGCCACCCAAGTTGCAGTTCTCCAGCACCCCACGATGCAGTGTCCGCTTCCCTATGTTTCTGTTCTGTGTGGACAAACTTTCCATCCGCTGAACTTCACTGCCTTGGGGCAGTTCTGAGCCAACTCCCCCTCTGACCCTCAGGAGTGCAACCCTGTGCAAACAGCCTGCAGAGCACATACCAGCTAGCTAGGTTTCAAATAATGATGGGTCCAGAAGTGAGGTCTAGGGGACATGGAAGGGTAACAAGGTAGGGGCCAGATTGAATTTCCTTGAACTGGGGCTTCCTGCCCAGGGCAGGGGCTCCCACCTCTCAGCCACCCCAGGAAGTATGACCAGTACCCCCCCAACACGTTAATCCCAAATGCCAATTCATTAAAACGTAAAACCTTTAATTTACTACTACTTTCTTTTTAAATTATTTTTTTTTAGTTCTTTTTATTTTTTCCTTCAGTGGATGACTTCTTTCATTTCCCCACCCTTTCCCCACCCCCATCTCCTGTTCCACCTCCCATTTAATTACCCACCCCAACCCATTAACTCTTCACCACCCAGCTTCATGTTCATGCCCCCTCCACTCAACCACCTCTCACACAACCCCACCTAGAGCAGGGGTAGAAGCCTGTCCTGATTTGCCACGATGTAGTGGCAACTCACAGCTGTAGATCCTAGTCAGGACCCTGCTTGCCAGCCCTCCAGTGGCAAGTCACAGCTATGCAGGTGGTGGGAATAGTTGGAGAAGACTTTTAGCCTTAAAGTGCAACTGCTCCAAATTCAAGCTACCACTAACACAAATCAACATTTGAGCAGCTCAAAGCACAATGCATAACAAGGCCCTTTGTCAGGGAGGATTCTGCCTCAACCAGAAGGCTGGATTAGATGACCTCATGAGGTCCCTTCCAGCCATATTTTTCTATGATCCTATATATCCCTGACAACATATTGAGAGATTTGGCCGATTTCATAGCTTGTAAAGAATTAAGTGACTCATGAAACAAACTATTTTGTTTGTTTGTTTGGTAATTGAATGTGGAACCTTACAGCAGGGACTGGTAACATATGGTTTGCAGGCCAGATCTGCCCTGCAGACCAGGCAGGAAGTGGGGAGAAACAGCAACAGCAGCAGTCACTGAGTCAGAACACTGGCCCATTGCAGACCTGAGCCTGGCTGTTCCAACCTGTAACTCTGAAACACTGCCAACCGCTGTTTTAACATATAATTCTGTATTCACAACAAGTAGAAAGATCACACGATTTTTGTACAGAACACTAAAAAACTACAATCCATTTCTTATTCCAAATTAAAAATCTAAAGAGCTTTGTGTTTCTGAGTTAGAAAAGTAATTTTTTAAAAAAACAACCCTCAAGCTTTATGGTAAAATAAAAATGAGTAAAAATGAAAGATAAAAGGTGGGACAGGAAGAATTTGCTTAATTGCATCAAACTGATCAAAGATCTTTCATGTTATACCCATATTATATATCTACACAATAAATTGCTCAGCATAGTTCTTGTTCTGCGGTATTACCCTAATTTGCTATATTGGCAGCTAAAAAGAATGGGGGAGTGAAAAAGAATGTGCACATTCCCAGCAGTGAGAAAAAGGCCCTAATCATTATTACATTCCTAAGTACTTTATTATTTACTCGTGCACACTTCCTGCTTTGCTCCCCCTAGTTCCCCTGTAATTAGCCCCCTAAACTAGGGGTACATGTCTTAAGCAGGAAAGATTATTTTTCTTCACTACAATAGAAGCATGGATAAGCAGTGCTGCAGGATAGCTGCCAGATTCTCTCTTGAGCAGCAAACAGGAGAGATAAAGACCAATGTTAATTCTTTCACAACTGCTCTCAAATTAGCAACGGGTTTTGGTTGAGCAGCCAAATGGGTAGCCAAAAACAGTAGCCAATTTGAGAGTGGCCATGAAAGGGTTAACACTAGACTTCAACTCTCTTGCTTGCTGTTCCAAAAAGAAGCTGGCAGACATTGTGCATTAATGCTCCTCCATGAATAAAAGCCTGCTCTAGGCCATGACTCTGGAAAATGTTATTTTCTACATTCTGTCTTTCAAAAATAAGGTGCAAGTCTCATTTGGGGCATGTGGTATATGAGAAAATATAGTAAGCGTTGTGCCTGTGTATTCATGGAAAAAAAACCCCTCACAGAGAGAAGTGTTAGCAACAAAGGAAAGAAGGGTAAACTGCCACAAGTTAGCTTTCATTTTCCTTGGAGTAAGAGCATATATTCAGTCAGTACAGCAGAATAGCTGACACATGGTACATCACATTTCCCTTCCCCCTGCAGAAACTTTAAGCCAGTTGTGCTACGTTTTTATTTAAAAACACTTTGGGTAAAACTTTCAAATATACCTCAATGATGCAAAAGGCTAAATCCTATTGACAATATGTACCTTTCAGCTAAAGAGCAACATGTCAGTCATCAATAACTTTTGAAAAAACATTGTTAAATAAAACAAAACAATAAAATCACTACAGAAATAAGAAGGTATCATCTTTCCCACCAGCTAACAAAAGACTGGGGTGGTTTCTTAATCAATCTAGCATCTTTTCAACAGAAATATGAATCGGCTTAGCGTCCTAGTCTTCTTGCCACGAAATAAGAGCAAAGTACTAATTCTCACTCAGACAATTTACTTACTGAGCTACTGTAACAGGGACAAGTGTTTCTGAACATTTGATAAGTCATTATTACACATCCATGCAGCCATACCTATACCTATACCTATGTCCAGTTCTGGGCGCCGCACTTTAAGAGGGATGTGGACAGCATCAAGAGGGTCCAGAGGAGGGCCACTCGTATGATCAAGGGACAGCAGGGTAGGTCCTATGAGGAAAGGTTGCGGGACCTGAACCTGTTCAGCCTTCAAAAGAGAAGGCTGAGGGGGGATCTTGTGGCCTGTTATAAACTGGTT